CCCTCCCCTCTTCCTTCTCTTCCTCCCACTTTGTTCCCCTTGCATCTGAACAAGCCAGCCTGCCAACCAATGCTTTACATCCATTAGGCTGTTAGCGCTTGTGTTAGAGGGAATACGAAGAAAATGACGTCAAACATTTTCTGACGGCACTTTTTTCTCTCCTCCTCTTCGGAGGGCATAAACAACAGGACGGGAAATGGGTGAAAACAAAAGCAAAATGATCAAAAAGAAATAAGAATGAAAATGAATAAAATGAGCAAAACCAGTCGATCAAACATGCCAAACCGTTCGCGGTAACTTCTCTAATTACTGAGATAACTTCACGGACAAAGTTTTTGGTTTTACAAAAACTTACGTAGCAAAGCCGACCAAATTTGAGATTAGAATTTTGGCGGGACAGCAACCGGGCGATTCGTCCGTATCAAATGAGGTACGCCGAGTCAAGGACACCACTCGAATGTCCGTTGCAACTGACATGGAAACTAAACAGACAACACTCAGCGCATCACAACAATACCAAAACACAACATCTTCGACATAACGACGACGACGACGACGTCGACGACGATGACAACGATGATGATGATGACGAAGACGAAGGTGAGATGATCATCATTCATGCGGAACAGATTCGTCTAACACAATCCTAACAATTCATCCATCCAAGTTAACCAGGCATCAAGAACATTTGGTCTGTCCTCAGGCTCACAATCAAGTGCACATTACTATTTCTGAACATCCCAACACCTTCACTGAAACGTTATTTAAAATTTAGAAGTATTTTTGAGCGTTCAGTACCTCACTACAACAAAGTAATTAGTTGCGGACCTTAAGGCACACTTAGATCCACGTGTCATTCTCAAAATTTTCCATTACACCTTGTGACCTCAGAATTTGGTTTACATCAATGGATACCTGGTGGTCTACCCTCCCCTTTACACTGGACACTTGGACCTGCATCATTTACAGTTTTACTCTACTCATTACTACTAAAACATAACGACGATTAAATTATTGACGGTTCTCCAATAAGCCTTCCCGATCCCACAAAAATTCCACAGCTTTTCCCTCTCTCTTCCTCCCTTCCTTCACGCCCACCATAATCTATTGAATTAGACTCCCTACATGGTAATTTTCCATCCAACGCCTGTCCCATTTAGACGGGTTCCAACCAGCTGCCACTACGTCAACTTCAATTCTCTCTGAGGCAGCCCAGGGGGCCCAAAACTCAAAACCGTTTCACATACCAAATTATAGAATCAATCAATCCAAAATTTCAAAATTCGTCGAAAAAACATTTCAAGTCATGAGCAGTAACGTAGCGAGGCAGAGAAAAAAGAAAAAAGTACTCCTGAGATTTTTCGGAGTAATTTTACGTTTCACCAGTGAACTTTTCGAGTTGTAGCTCTATAATTCATGCTGTAACATTAAGATCGATAAATGATGAGTTCGGGTGAGTAAAAATACTAGAAACTCTAGTGGATTTACGATCATGATACTCAGGCAATCAAACGTATTGTACAGAATATCAGTCAAGTCCAAGTTAACGACGAATATGAAGGGGGAATCGCGTGCAAGGACCAGTCAGGAGATGAGTATGGGTGTCTGGGGAAACGCCAACGCCATGCAAACGAATATGGAACAGGATCCGATGAGAAGCAGCATTACTACAAACTCTTATATTTCTAAAGTCTTCTAGAAAAACGATAATTGATTCTGTGCGTGGAAACGAGATGCAATAGCATTCATCAGGGAAATGTTCAACGAAAATACTTCCACCCACTTGTCTGTGATGTGTTACATCCAGCGTAACTTCCAAGTATCGGTAATTACTACTAGTTCTATCTCATTAAGATAAACATAAACAATGGAGCAGTACGATACTACAACTTTAAAACCTCGTACACCCAGTAGAAATGCCGAATAAAACAAATAACGCCCGAAATTCTTTAAAAAAAACCTGACACCACCAGTCGTGCCTAAGTAACATAATTTAACGATTTACCAAAAAAAAAAATGCTTCTCAAAGTCGGCACTGAAATTATTAAAGTGAAAAAGTATGGCCCAGATAATGTCCCCTCCCCTGGCCCGCTTAAACTGATTTTTATAAATTTACAAACAAGTCAAGAAGTTCACTGTGAGCAAAACGGAAGCCAATACCCTGCTCTTGTTCAAAAACTGATTACCAGGAAAAACCGGAGTCATTTCCAGGTGGAAGCACTTTAAAATTGATTCTAAAAGTCAAACAAGTATGGGAAATGAAGTGAAAACGGTGCAGCAGCAAACTATCCGGAACAGGCAATGAAGATTGATGGGCAGGCAGGTACTTATGGTTTCCGAATCAGTTCCGGTTTGAAAAGGCAGGTAATTTGTAGAGAGAAGTGGACATTCCTTGCTTTTGTACCCACACGAAAGTGATCTATCTGTGAAGTCATAGCCATTACGAGCAATTGATGGATGTCTTCCGTTGTGGTCCAGTAGTTGTTTGTTTGTCAGGACAAAATGATTTGTGGGATGATGCCATCCGTATGGATTGTAGGGGATGCGTCGTAGAACCACCACCGATGCAGTGAATGAACGAGGCGAGAGAAAAACGACGAGATAGGGAAACGAACTGGTGATAACAGCCACTTGACGACAACACACAGCACACATACACACATGCATAGATACGAATATATTTCTTGAACAATTCTGGAACTCTACAGTGGCCGGCGAACTTTTGAAACATCAGTGGATACATGTGGATTTGAGAAAAACAGCCGTAAATGTCAGATGGCCACTGATTTATAAGGGTTTGAACTTCTTATGAGCCATGGGGGCAGGAGATGAGCGGCCCCTTCCCGGATGACTAGTAAAATGGTGTGGGACGCGTCCTGACAAGAACGAAACGAAAAAAAATTGTGGATTGTGAATAGAGTGAGCGGAGCGCGACACACTTCCCACAGACTACATGTCAACACAGGCGCGGACGGACGGACGGACCGACCGCCACCATACCGCCATCACCACCATCACATCTCCTGTGTAACGTGCTGGTTTCGGGATACTACATAAACACTTCGCCCGTGTGTGTTTCCACAAACGACGACGACGACGACGACACGCGACCACCAAGAAATCATGGACCACCCTGAGAGGCCGATCGAAAAATCATCAACAATCATGCTTATTGACTCTATAGATTATACAGGGGCGATTGAAAAAAGAATCTCAATTATTCATGAATCATGCACGAACACTTGAAATATGCGGTGGGCAGAGTTTCGAGTTCAGAGATCAAGTTCACCCGCGGGTGGTCGCCACCAGAGATGTTCCTAAAAATGTTGAACGTCCCAGAATGTCCGTCTGTACCGGAAGCTCTCCTTTGAAATGTCAGGCACGATTAACATTTTGTCAAACATGCTTGGGATCAGGGTCAAGCGTATGTCAATGAAGAAGGGTGGGAGATGTGGGGTCCCCATTACATGGCTGGCTCCCTACCACTCTTAAGCCTTCAACCCGGAATAGGGAAAAGCTGAAGAACCGAAGAAACAAGCAGAATAATGGGAGACAGTTGGATTGGAAGAAGGACCGCAGTGGCACCCACAAATGGGGGAACGGGGGGGGGATGAGATTTTTTAGGTTAGGTAAATAAAACAAAACGTTCGGCTCGATCAGCCCGCCCGATTTCAAAAGACGGCAACTGCAAATTTCATACTTGTAGGTAAGTATAAAAGGCAGAATGATCTTTGATTTTCTTCATTTACTCCTGTCAAGATGAGCCATGCATTCAGTCATACCATGTGAACTCCAATATTATTTCACTGCACGTTTGACCTCAATACTTACTGGGAGACAACCAGTAAGCAAGTCGTAATTCCTCCCCCTTCGAAGATGATTAAGACAATAGGGATTCATATGCAAACGCATCAGTACCATAATAGAAATGGTATCGTTGGTTACCAGTTAACATTAACATTAGTCAGTCAATTTTTGAGGCAATATGGAGCCCCCTCCCCCTCCCCTACCCCTCATCCTTTCCTTTTGAATATGCCCTAACTCTAAGGTTTCCTCAAACCCACATCGAAACCAAGTCACTCGAACTTGCTAAAATATAAGCTATGACCATAGCTGAGACCCTAATCCCAAAATTTTGGACCCTATTT